ACATTTTGAACAGAAAATTGAGGGGACGTTTTTTTTGCGTGATTAGATATTGAGGGAAGGGAAAAATCAGTAGGAGGCTAGTAAAAAGACAAACAAGGAAGTTTAGCACTTATTGTTACATGTGAAATTGCCTTCATAAATTGTGTTTTTAGGAAGAAAATGCTCTCAATTTCTTTTTTTTCGTTTAAAAAATTCCATACATTTTTTTTCACGCTTCATTATTTAGCTAAACCATGATATTTAACGTTTTTGAATTCAAGAAGAGAAAAATTGTGTCTTCCGCTCCAAAGTGATTTTTGGGAATTATTTGGAAAATACATGAGTGTTTTTTTCACGAGTGTTTTTCGAGTGATTAGATGTTGAGGAAAAAAGGAAATGGTGGAGTAGTACTCACATAACGAGTCAGTTTCCAGAAATAAAATTTTGGGAATAGTTTAAAGGATCGATATAATGTTCCTTCAGAATAAAACCAAAGAAATTGATCGAGACATGTATCTTTAAGTGGGAGGGAATATTCTGAGCAGAAAATTGAAGTGCCGACTTGATTGCCTCCATAACGAGTCTTTCTGGGGAGAAATTTTGGGAGTCAGTTTTTTCAATCACTTTTTCTTCAGTCAAACGAATTGATAGCATAGGTTTGAATTGTTATTATTAAGGTTGAGAGTGAGCTCAAAATTCTAGAGGAAAAAATTTATGAGAAAGAAAATGCAACAGGAAATTCAAGTTTCTAGAAAAATTTATATGCCTAGAGGATAAGAGTTCAATCTCGTTATGAATTCGGAACTCTTAAAATCCTATAGAAAGATAACAATTTTACAGGGACCCCTATAAGACCTTTTTATACGTGGAGAACCTGTAGTAACAGGGCATATCTGGGCTGCTCGATCGCATTTTCATGTCAGTCTTCTGGGGTGTTATGTCGAAATAGACTTTCCAATATTGTATTTTTTTCGAAGCGAGAACATTTTACAGGGCTTATTAGAAAAATTCACATGTGGAGAAATTTATGGATGATACTGAGTTTCATGGGAAAATTTTTCCTGTCTGAATGTGTTAAAATTTTTCCTCTGCTTGAATGAGTTAAACTGCATGAGGTGAAAAATGTATATGTTTATTGCTAAGTTTATTCATCTAATAGTTAACTCGAATCAAAGTTTGAAAATGAGAGGAAAAACATGAATTTCAATGTTACCAAATTGTGGATTGGATATTTGATACGATTAGCTCATTCTCATCACGTACCGAATTGAATGCCACTACTAAATACTGAAGAGCCAATTCCAGATTAAATACATAGGCGTCTAATGTCAAAAGAATATATGCATGCTTCACCATCTCACTGACCTTCGTTTCACCAACTATAATGATCTATTGTTTACAAATTTAATTACTTTGTACCAGCAATTAAGAATAAATGCTCAATGTTCTCCTGTTGAAAATTCTCTCATTGAGGAAAAATATCTCGTAATATTTCCCATTAAAACCCTTTCTGTTGAAACTAATCAACTACAAGATCGTAGCACAATTTTTAATCATTTCTTAATTAGTTGATTTGATGCTGCTTCAAAAAATTTAATCATGCCCTTTAGGTAATTCCATCGAGACTAGTGAAATACTATTGAAGAGAAAGATAGCATTTTTCTTCGATTGGTGCCCCCTGAAAATCGATAGTTAGTTCAAGTAAATGTTATAGATATATTCGTCAAAATATTGTATTAAAAAAAGTAACATATGCTATTTTTATTCCACCGATATTTCTATTCCGTTGATATTTCATCTATAAAAACTCCCGGCCACGAATTTACTAAGTTGCTTTCCACTGTATTTTTGTTCTCTGACTTTCCTTCTTTTAAAAAATGTAAAAAATATCAACAGATCTACAGTGATAGAAAAATCAAAAGCCATCACTTTCTATCATATTATAAAACTTATGAAAAGATCTAAATCCAAAGAATAGAATTGTGTGACTGAAAACACCAAAGAATTCCTCCGAGTTATAATCACCAATACATGCCTTCAGAATAGAAATGATGATGTTGAATCGAATGATGAATTCAATCTTTGTGTGTCAGAATCTTATTAGTAGAAAGTGCCNCTTATGAAAAGATCTAAGTCCAAAGAATAGAATTGTGTGACTGAAAATACCAAAGAATTCCTCCGAGTTATAATCACCAGTACATGCCTTCAGAATAGAAATGATGATGTTGAATCGAATGATGAATTCAATCTTTGTGTGTCAGAATCTTATTAGTAGAAAGTGCCGTTGCTTATCCGATGCCTAAAATCAGAGAGATCGTCTTCCCATATGGACGCTTATTTTATAAAAAAATTGTTTTTCAGAATAATGAAAGAGTGCCTCAATGACATGGATTGGAATATACTAGGGATATGCTTCTAGATCAATTGAAATTTTATATTTCTTGAAGTTCATATATTCTCACCGCAGAGGTATTGGAAAGAAATAAAGCAAACTGGGTGAAATGAGATGCAGGTTCAATGAATGATTTTGAACTGGACGAAGCCAGGATCGGCTGCTGGGGGTCGAAAACTATGGAAGCGATTGAGAATTGCAGAATATTACGAGAGATGATCACGGAAGAAAATTAATTCTCTATCGAAACAATTTTTGGAGATGTTTCACCAGACCCACCGATCTTTGAAAGTCTAACAAATTCGGCAGAAAATGATTTTCACGCTGTGCATACTGCATTGTTTGCACTGTATTATTTCACACCCGGTTTCACCGTCCTGAAAAATCTTCCTCATATATTCCTGAAACTTATGGTTTTTCATCCAGCTGTAGAGGCCTTTTGTGTCGTGTAGTAAGCTTTTGAAAAAAAAAAAAAAAATAATGAGGTTCTAATCACATTTTACCCTGGAACAGCCTCCAGATGGTCACTGCCACTAACATAATACAGCTGGAGCTTCCTCTTCTCCTGGTGCCCGTGAATCAACGGAATGAAAAAGTGATGACTCTAAATGAATAATTCCTTTCAGGATTCACGTCATCTCGTATATGTATACTGGTCAGGTGGTTCAACTCCTTGATGAATTTATTCTGGAGCTGTCACATGGGTTCAATCAGTCTTGAACAGTGTGATTGTACTACTACTGTAGATATAAAAAACATAGGAGCGGGGAAAATGATTTGTCATTTATCGTTACATTTTTTTCGATCGTCATCTTCTCAGTGTCACTTCCAAACAATTGATTACGATTATACTCGGACGAATAATGCTCCGTTATAAGTTCAAGTATGTTTTTTAGTAGTATTCACTCCACGTTCATAAAAAAAAACNCGCAAAACGTGGGGGGGTAAAAGGCAATTCACAAGTAACCAGATGTGGAAGACGGGCCTTAAGTCTGAGATTCTTATTCATTAAACCAATTTTCTAACCTCCAAACATGCTCCGAAATGATTTAAAGGGCCCGGAGTGGGAAGTGGTGGGGGGAGTACCTCTCGGTAAGACAGACCCGATAAACATTATTTATTATCAGTTGAAAAAATGAACGGATGAATTTGGTGTTGGGCCACCTTTGACCACCACAGGATTCTACATATAAATTCATATGTTGAATTTTTCAAAAAGATGCATTCCTCCCGCTGGCTGCAGGTGAAATTTTTGATTATTTATAATTAATTGATTTTTACCACCAAAAAGCTAAAAGTGGACTACCTTTGACCACCTTCGAACCACCAAGCGATTGCAATAATCCAAATTTGCATTCCCCCCTACCCCCTGCTAGCTGTAAGTAGCTTGGATAGGACAGCACTCAACATGTCAACGGCAAGTGAAAACCCACCAAAAGTCAGTGAGACACACCTAAGAGAAAGGCGCCAAAATTTGACAATTGTATAATTCATCAATGTAAGTTCAATAATTGGATACAAATTCAATGAGAAATTACAGACTAGGCGTAGTGCACATTCAATTATGCTGAAAATTTGGGGTTTTGGGAGGAAATGTCTACTGATGTTCGTGATAAACAAAGCAATGTTCGAATTTTGGCGCCTTGCGCTCCAGTATGTCGCTGTCATTTGCGGACTGTCCTCTACGAGTGAAAACCCACCCTAGAACGGAGTTAACCTCCATGCAGTGCAAACCGACAAGAGTTGTTACCTCAAACTACGTCACAGAACTTATTGTCTTTCATCATTCCTCAGCCAGAGGAAGCAAAAGCATCCGCTATTGACGAACAGTTCATTCTGTTGTCCGTTATCTCATTGTGAGTAAAACTCTAACACCAACATTTGCACGTCTGAAGTTATTCGATCGAAAATGCTAAAGCTTCTGGTAGAGAAATTTATCCACTGATTCTATTGGGTATTAGCCGACTTGTATACTTTTTTTGATTTTTGTTTTTGCATGTGTAATTGATTAGAAAACAAATCTAGGGAATTTCTACTTCTGAGTAAACAGATCTAGACTATTTTCTATGGACCATCTATCGGCAATTTTCTGCTGAAAATCTCATGATATTTTTTGTGCGGATTTTTAATGTGAGAAGAAAATAAAAAGATACAATAACAGAAAAAAATAGGAAAATTTCTCGCTGAGGAATTTTTGGTATACTTCAACACCAACACAGCACTTCCGTGACAAAATGCACACAATGGAGTCCCTTCATTTTTTGACATCTTCAATGTTTGGATCATTTCAATTAGAATGTGAGCATCACGATGTTTGTATGCAAGGTCTTAAGGATATCCAAGTACGTTGGCAATTTTTTCTGCAGTAAAATGCTTTTCAATTTTCTTAGTTAAACTTCAGAGCTTTCATTTGAGCTCTATTTGATCCTATGTTTCCGGACATATTACAATCATTCTATTATTTAACTTTGCAACTCTAAATTTGCATCTCGATATTGAACTGTTGGAAAACATTGAAACATTTAAACAATCAAAGAAAAATTAGAAAGATTACTTTTGACAGAAGACTGATGAAATAATTAAAAAATTGCAATTTTTGAAAATTATAAGCATTTATTGTAAATAATGTACAAAGAATCAATTTTTCACTATAAAAATCATTTGTTCGGAATCGTAACAAATTTATTCGAATATTCAGAATTTTACCAGAAATCGGTTTCATGCCTAAAAAAATTAGGTTTCCGAAAGATTAAACAACTTCAATTATTTATTTATAAACAGCGACTGGTTTAAAAAATCATAATTCTGTGCAAAATGTAATTGAATGACGCTAAATATTCATATTTTTTTCAATTTTTTCTTACGCAATTTAATTGGCAAATTTGGTGATTGAAATTGAATCTATAGTTTGATCTGGACCAAACTATTAAAGATACTTGGATATCCTTGATGAAAACGTCAAATGTATTAAAAAATGAAGGGATTCCATTATGTTACATGTGAAAAACGTTAACAGAAAAAGATAGCGAATTCGCTGGACAATGTTATTGAATTTCTGTCGGCCTTTCCATTAGTTTGTGGCCAATTCGAATATGTTTTATTAAAATTTTCAATAGACCATATTCTTTAAAAGACTCAATAGAATTGGATTTTTCTGTACATCTTATTCTATTGAGGTATTTTCTGTAGAATTTTCTCTGCTCAAATTTTGTAAGTTTTTCCATTCTATTTTTCTTTTCTTTTTATCAAGAAAATCAAATAAAAAAACTTAGCAATTTTGAGGTAAAAGAATTCTAGACAAAATATTTGAATAAAATAAATTGTGTAAAAAAAATGAATTCTATTGACTTTTTCTACAGAATATTTTCTATTGAACATTTCAATAGAATCGGCCAAAAACTAATAGAAAGTTCAGTAGAAATCCCATAGAAATGTCTAGTGAATTCGTTAGGTTTTTCTATGAAATTTTTTCATACGTCTGAAGGCGACTATAAATTGTCCTCATTTACACACTTTCATATCTTTTCCTGATATTTATCACCTCTTTGTGATTATGACCATCATTTACATGTGTTCTCGTGAGTTTCTAAATGTCTCATTCTGAGCATTTAAAGCTATTGATCTATCCCCCCCCCCTCTAAAAAAAAAACAAAAATAAATTTAAAAAAGATCTCAAATGGGACAATTTCCATCGAGTTCTTGAATATTTAATCCCGCGGAGGTCAATAAGTATGTCTTTAGGGGGTTTTTCACCTCATTACAACACAACAGAATCCTGTTCTAAAATCCTATTCTAAAAAGAACATACACTTAAAGTCGATAACTATCGATATCTCGCAAGTCTGTCACGGTTATTCCTCATTGGTTCCAGTCGTCTGAGGCGGCAAATTTAATTCATGATTAATTTAATTTTGAGATTTTCAATTATGATTGTTACAATTACAGCGCGCTGTAGCGCGCGTTCGGCCTCGTCAATAGAAAAAGCCTAGTGCATTCACTAAATTCCATTGGGCTCCTATTGGAAATTTTATTCGTTTTTCGCAGATTCTATTGAAACATCGCGCAGATTTTCTGCGGGTGTTTATTAACAAAACATGGAGAATTTTGTGCTTCTTCACAAATGTTAATCACTTATTGAATGTTTGGTAAAATATGGAATTTTTCTTTTCTATGGAAATTACAATTATTTCTCTCGGTGATGAGCCTGAACTAAATTCAATTGATAACATTGCTTTTGAATTATAAACATTGAAAGAAAAATCCAAAATATCCTTTTTGCACCACCCACCCCTGGAACTTAATCTATTGAGATTAATTCTTGAAAAATTTAATTTTTAGACGATAGAAAAAGAATGCACAGAAGGAAAAAGTGTTTAGTTTACAGTCAAAATCTCTGAATTTTAGAATTTGGCCATGACAAAATTTTGTGAAAAAAAAATCCAAGAAATGAGTGAAATTTTCACTCATTTTATGAAAATTTTCCAAAAGAATTCTATTCCTCTGCAATTTTCACCTAAATCTAGTAGCATTGTACTTAAACTGAGGCATATTTTCTTAGATTTTAGAGAAATCTTGGTTTTGAATTTCAGAACGTTTGTTTGTTGAAACTTGAAACTTGAATCAAAAACATGCACTCAGAACAAACCTTATTTTTTCCAAATATTCATTTACTTGAGGGAAACCTTTATTACTTCAAAATCGTATTGCTCCAATCGAGTCATTCTGAGACAAGCCTGATTAGGTTGCAATTATGATGATCATGTTCCTCTAGAGCATGACTATATTACACATAACCTTGGATGAACTCCTTCAATAATTATTCATTTTTCCTAAATTTCTTATTTTATACAAAGAAGAATTTCGATCAATCTTTTAATGTTGATAATTATTGAGAGTTATCTCAAGGTCATAACTAACATGATCACCTTCTTGAGCAATATACTTGTCATAATTGAAACCCTATGAGGATTGTCTGGGAATGACTTAACTGGAGAAATACGGTATCAAAAAAATAAATACTTCTCCCAAGTAAATGGATAACGGGACGCAACTGCGTCCCTTGATTTGGCAAAAATAATTTTGTTTCTCAGTGTGTTGCTTCTGAATATTTTCTTGCTTGAATTGATGGCTTTTCCGTCTGCAATCAATGTACTTAAAGTATTTCACCAAACACGTGGACTCAATTGATGTTGAATTAATGTTCAATCATTCCCGGATTTTATCCCTTTGGAATGTTCATCGTTTAAGCACGCAAAGATTATTAATTAAACAATCCAATGGTTCTTTCATTTAAGAACCCAACGGTTTATGATTTAAGGCCCGGATGTACTATCTTTCAAATGTTATCTGGATTTTTTTTATCTTTCGTAATCCAAAATTGTCGATGAATGGTACATCCTATAGAAATTCCCAAAAATTATAATAGAATGATAAAAAAAATAGAAAAAATTGTGAACTTTTTCCAAGAGCGTTTTTAATTGAGATTTAGAATGAGTTGCAAAAAGTGGAAATTACAAATATCTGATTCGCTGTGGCAAATTATCTATTAGCTGTCATTTTCCATGGTGGATAACAAAACACTAACTCCTCATGGGAAGTGACAGCTAGGTATCTCAATTTTCAAAACAGTGGTATGTAGGCATCTGCCATTTTTATGTGATAAAAGTGTGATTAAAAAATTCTCCAAAATATTACAACTCTTTTCAAAGAGCCTTTTCCGTAATAAATGTCTCTGTGCAATGTGGGAAAATATTTACGAAATCAGTCTTTCCCCTGCATGATATTGGGTGACAGGTCGCCATTTGTCCCCGTAAATCAGATACATTTTTCAATTTCTTGTTATTCAACTTATTCTGAATATAAATTAAAAATGCTCTTTGAAAAAATTAAGAATTTTTTCTACTTTTTTTTGATTATTCATTCATAATTTTTCAAGACTTCTGCATGGTGCAGGACTTAATTGACAATTTCAGATGATGAAGGATGAAAAAAAAACAACGAGATATCGTTCGAAAGATAGTACACCCGGGCCTTAAACACTTCTTTTTGGTACAGAATTTTAGGGACTTTTCATTTGCAGTTAAGTTTCTTCTCATGTCAATACCTTCTAAAACCATGAGTTTCTTAAAATCAATAACTTGGTACATCTAGTATAAAAAAATCAACATCTGCAGATTCTTTTCTATAAACAAATATCTACCAAAAACGTCCAGGAGATTAGCATACTTTTTAATAGAATTGGCACAAAAACCAAGTGGATAGAATTTTTCAATAAAATTTTCATAGAATTCCAAAAGAATTGTTCCAGTAGAAATTAAATAAAATTGTTTGGAAAATCCGCTAAACTTTTCTATTAATTTTTTTTTTCGTATAGTTAAATTACCTCAACATGAGAAAATATGTTTTGAACTAATTAATCAATTAAAACTAATTCTTTCTACTAGTGTACGTATTATTTCGCATATACATTGGGAGAAAAACAGCTGAATTCTCAAACAAGTCTTACTTATGTAAAAAAAAATGTTTGTTAAAAATAATCAAAAGAAGATTTTTTTGCCAAACATGCGAAGCGTGCGCCGAGATTGAAAATTTTTATTGCAAAAATAGATTTAGTCTTTTCAAAAAAAAAAATTATTCTTTGCGCAGGCAAGAAATGTAATTTCTAGCACTACTTCTTCATTATTCGATGCTCCCATATGTATTCTGCTCCTGGCAAATGCAAGTGTTATAGTAAACGAGGGATAGTAGTTTGTTGTTTCGGCTATTCAATAATCACAGACAAAAATGAATTCTTAAGGCCCGGGTGGATTATCTTTCGAACGTTATCTCGATTGTTTCTCCATCTTCATAATGTAAGATATATCACAATTTCCATTGAATTTTACATCACGCAGGAGTCTCTAAAGACTATGATTGAACAATCAAAAAAAGTAGAAAAAACTGAACATTTGATAATTTATCATGATAACTAACGATCCGACAGCCATTGACTACTGAGACAAATGACGACCTAACAGCCATTAGATACATCAAATTATTAATTTGCAATTTCCTCCCTATTGGGTTTATTTCCCAATATTAAAAAACGCTGTTTGAAAACGTTCAGCTTTTTTCAACGTTTTTTTGATTGTACACTCGTAATCTTTGGAGACTGCAGCGCTACACGGATGAAAAACATTCAATAGAAAACCTAGCGAATTCGCTAGAAAATTCTATGGAAATTCTATAGGAAAAAGTCAATAGATTTCGAATTTCTGTTTGGAATTTTCTCTTGAAATTTTTTCTATAACAATGCTTGGGCATCAATTTTCTAAGTTTTTTCCATTCGGCTTCTGCAATGCAAAATAAAACAAAATCCAGCGGAAAAAACTTGGAAAATTTTCGTCCAATAATTGTAATAGAAAAAATTTCAATAGAAATTCGAAATTCTTTGAGTTTTTCTTATCAAATATCTAATAAAATCAGCGCAAAAAACAAATAGAATTCCAACAGGAATCCTATAGAAACCCCATAGAATTACTATAGAATTCCAATAGAATTTTCTAGCGAATTCGCTAGGTTTTTTATTGAATTTTTTCATACGTGTATATAAAACTGAATAGCAATTGGAGATCATTTCAGATTACCAAAATAAAAAAAAACCACCAAGATCACTTTCGAAAGATAATTCAGCCGGGCCTTAAATTGAATAATAACAATGATATGACAGCAATCTTGTAACTTAGGGACAAAATATTTCTTGATAAACTTCCCTCTATAAAAGATATTTTTATCCTGAAAAGGCACCGTCTTGTGTGAATGATTTGCCTCTTGAGCCAAATATTCCATTGTTGTTGAAAGCAGAGCAATTATTCAAGCGACTTTGAAATTCGAACCAAACAATGATTTTTTTGGTAATTTTCAACTAAAGATTTTGTTCGCTCGAACAGTGCTTATTTAAAGACTTGTTAATTTTTGTCTGAATACCTTAAAACTTTCCATCATTATCTCCTTTCAGAAATACAAGCACCCATAAACGTGTCGACTGCCACCTTCACAATGCCAAAACACAGTCGCGACGGTAGTGAAGATCGCGACCGTCGATCGTGGAGACACGATTCCAGATCAATGGAGAGAGAGGCAAAACGCAGTAAAAATCGTCGAAAGCGATCAAGAACCCCAGTGGCACGAGAGAAGAGTCCCTCGAGAAATCGCAGGTACCGTAGCCCTAGCATATCAACAACGTCAACATTTCGGGAGAGAAGCCAGTCCCGGGAGAGACTCCACCGACGACGAAGCAGGTCAAGAAGCAACGAACGAACCTCGAGTCGATACCTCACGAAACCTGATAAAACCTCACACAAGGATAATCATCAGCCCAACAAATCCGACATTGAGAAATTGACTGGTGCCCTTTCCAATCAGATACAGTTGAGTCCAATGATGACTGAAGGAGAGGATGATCTGAACGAAAAAATTCTTCCAGAGTTCGACCCTGAATCCAAGAGACTGAGTGTTGACGATTGGCTGAACAAAGTCAATCGTTGTGCAGAGGTTCGTCACTGGAATAACTGGCAGAAATTGTACCTGGCAACATTGAGATTGCGGGGGTGTGCTAGGGGATGGTTCGAGCAAGTATCAGTCTCTGATGCACCTTTCCTAAGTTGGCGAGAATTTTCCATGGCCATTGCTGGTAAATTTCCATTCTCAAAGACCATCAGCTTCGGTGAGACCTTGGAAGACATGCTCCAGTTCACGAGTGACTCCAGCGGAATGAGTGTCAAGTCTTATTACTACGAGAAAATCAATAGGATAAACAGATTAAATGTGGATGTGAGTGAAGAGAGGGCTTTTGAACTTGTTGTACATGGTATCAGTGACGTTGATCTAAGGATGAAGGCGAACATTTACTGCAAGGATAAGACTCTTTCAGAGCTTGATAAATTTTTTGATATTTTCTTCGGGGGCGAGGGCAGGAGGAAGAATGATCAGGTGGATCTTGAGGGAAATAAACGTAATGGGAAGAATCATTTGTCGAGGAGTTTTAGAAAGCCGGATAGGGCTAATGGGTGCTTCAATTGTGGGGAGCATGGGCATAAAAAGAGAGCTTGTCCGGGGTTGAGACGGGGTAATTCTCAGGATTGAAATTATTGAGGGGTGGGTCAAGCAATGAACTGTTGATGGTCGTGTGCTGTCACGATTCAGATGAGTCTTGATTCTGGGGACGAGAGCGGGGACAGGTGACATGAGATTTCGGAATCACTCATCGTTCTCCAGGACATTCTTCAGTTGATAGTAATTTTAAATTAAAGATTCATGACAGCAAGAATTTAAGTTGCCATGTTTTTCTGAAAATTTGCCTTATACACAGGACACGGCCCGGACTTCCGTAATAAAAATTTGAAAATCTAACTACTTACGATAATTCTGGCGGATATTTTCATCGATAAGGCTTCTAGACACTTCGAAATGAGATGTCAAATTTTTTCAAATTTTTCTGAGGCTTTACTGAAGTGTAATTTCACAAATGGGAAAAAGCGTGGCCCGGTGCTCATCGGGCGACCGATGGAGTGTTAATAGGAAATGTTCTATAGAATCTATTTTATAGAACAATCAGTAAAATTCCAACATTCCATACAGCTTTTTCTATTGAACATTTTATATAGGAATTCCTGGACATGAAATTCTCAGTTTCTCCCACTTTCTTTTTTTAGCTTTTCATGAAAAGAATCTAAGAAAAATTTAGCAAATTGGAGCCAGGGAATTTTCTATAGAAAATATCTCAACAGGATAAGTTGTATAGAAAAATCGAATTCTATGGATTTGTTTCTAAAGAGTATTATTCATTGAACATTTCTATTTTAAAAATCCGAGGATAAGCTTGGGAATTTTTTAATTGAATTGACCAAAAACTAACAGAAAGTTCAATATAAATTCAAATGAATTTCCTAACGAATTCGCTGCATTTTTCTAAGAATTTTTTTCGTACAGATTTTTTGTTGAATATCTAAAATGACTCTACAGAAAGTTGGGGAAAATGAAAATAACATTTATATTATTATTGTTTTCAGTTTCTCCAACATTCCTGGAAATTATTTTGGTTACCGAGATTAATGCTAAAAAAGAAGTGTTGTGAATTTTAATTCAAAATTTCAATCAACTCTTAATAGTCTGAAGGAAGAGGAGGGTTTGTCATATTGATTAACGCGGTTGGCGTAATACTTCAATCGTGCAGAGATTTCTCAGATGTTCTGGGATTAAAAAACGCGACCTGTTGAGCGCAGACAGAAAATAATTGATAGAACTTGGGAATAGGACGGGGAGTTTGAGATGGAATTTCGTGAAAATTTCCCCTGAATTTTGGTAATTGTGTAGTCCGTTGGCCTTTTGGTAATTTTTACCAAAATTGTAACAAAAAATGGAAAAAGATTTAGCAAAGTTTTCAATTTTTTTAGGAATACTTTTGGGATATTAAAATTTTCACCTAATAAAACAACAATTTTAAAAAAATAATGAAAGAAAAAAATTTTTTCATCTAAAATATTTCAATTTTCACCTGAGTTATTGCATTCTTTACTGAAACTCTGCTGATAATTTCTGAAGGGTCAATAGGGTAAACGATTACTCGAATTCAGAGTAACACGCATGAAAAAATTCAATAGAAAACCTAGCGAATTCACTTGAAAATTCTATTGGAATTTTATAGGAATGCTATGGGGTTTCTATAGGATTTCTATTGGAATTCTATTGAAAAATTCTATTTGTTTTTTGCGCTGATTCTATTGAATGTTCGATACGAAAAAGTCAATAGATTTCGAATTTCTGTTTCGAATTTTCTCTTGAGATTTTTTCTATAAGAATTCTTGGGCACCAATTTTCTAAGTTTTTTCCACTCGGTTTCTGTCATGTAAAATAAAACAAAATCCAGCGGAAAAACTTGGAAAACTTATGCCCAATACTTCTCACAGAAAAAATGCAAGAGAAAAATTCCAACAGAAATTCGAAATCTATTGACTTTTTCTTATCGAACATCCAATAGAATCAGCGCAAAAAACAAATAGAATTTTCCAACAGAATGCCAACAGAAATCCTATAGAAATCTAATAAAATTCCTATAGAATTTTCTAGCGAATTCGCTAAGTTTTCTATTGAATTTTTTCATGCATGAGTTTTTAAAAGATTTTTTGCTCATTGATTGCTCTCCTGTACATTTTGCAAAAAAGCAGATTTCACATATACGAGGGAATTTAGTAGGAAAACCTAACGAGTTCTCTAAACATTTCTATCGAAACTCTGTAGAAAATTTTATTCGTTTTTCGTGCTAATTTCTACTGAAACTGATGCAATTTTTCCAGTAAATATTTTTATAGAAATAGAAAAATAGAAAAATTCAATAGTTGTTGTTTTTATTTATCCTATTTATTCATTATTTTAGGATTTTTTCGATAAAAAAAATGTTGGACATCAATTTTCCATGGTTCTCTTCTTTCGTTTGTAATGAAAAACAAAAAAACGAAAGAAAAAAGTTGAAAAAATTGATATTATTACAAAAATTTCTACAGAAAAAATCTCAAGAGAATAATTCATACGGAAAAATTGAATTTTATTGACTTTTTCAAATTATTTTACAGAAATTAAATTTTTTCATGGGATTCTTATAGAGATCTCATAGAATTGCGTTCAGAAAGCGCAAGGTTTTTTTGGTAAATTATTTCGAACGTGAATAGATAGAAAAAAAGATTTCTACAATAAAAAAATTCTCGCGATAAACTTTTTCTTGATTGATTGAAAATTACATTTTTCAGACAAGAATGACACGCGTAAGATAATTCGCATCAACTTCTGTTAGAATTCCATAGCTATTTTGTTGATAATTTCTTGGAACACTATTGAAAAAGTCTTACAAATATATTAACAATTCTGTTTTTTTTTCAAATGGAAACATTTTATTAAAAAAAAATATATTAGATGTTGATGTCCATGCACAATCTATTCTGCAGTTATTTTTTATATAAATGCGTGGAATAATTTCCAAAATAACTTATTCACGTTTTTTGCAATAAATGATCAAATATGAAAATAATACTCTAGTGTTATAATGCAAATAAGTTCTAACAAGTCTCCACCGCAAAAACAAAAAAAAAAGTTTGTGGAAAGAAAGTTTCTAATTGAACACATTTTTCTATCCTAAAAATGTGTTCTTTAATGCACATTTTGGCTTTTGCCAAAATTCGTCAAAGAATTTCTCTAGAGTATTTCATTTTTTTTCACGCAAAATTGTAAAATCAGTCATTTGGGATTTCTTATTGCGAATTATCGAGGAGAAAAATGCACAATTATGAAAAAAATATGACTGAGTTTAAGGGGAGATGATAAAGGGAGGGAGAGAGGGTTAAAATGGACATTTAACTTTTTTCTTCAAGTTCATAACTCACGAATAAATTTGTCAACTGAACTTCACGCGTGAAAACAATTCATAGACAAATCTAATGAATTCGATAGGCAATTCTATAGAATTTTGATTAAAGTTCTATTGAAACTTCTACTAGCTTTGGTCAATTATAGCGAAAAATTTCACAGCTTTTCTGCACGTTTTTTCCACTCAATTTTTTTCTCCTGCCATAATAAAAATCAAACAAAAAACAAGAAACTCAGAAACTTAGAAAATTCAAGCCGAGGCAATTTTATAGAAAATATCCCAATAAAATACGTTGTACAGAAAAATAGAATTTTATTGACCTTTTCTATAGAATATTTCTATGGCGCATTTTAATAGAATCGGCCAAAAAATATCAGAAAATTTACGATAAATTCCGTAGCATCGTCTAGGGAATTCGCTAGGTTTTTCTATTAAATTTTTCATACGTGAGAGGATAAAAATTCTACTTTCTATGGAAAAAATGATCCCATTTCATGATCAATTCAATGGATCATTAACATTTTACAAAATAGGTGAGTGCCCAGTCTGCCCCAATTGCACATAGTACTAGAAGGTCCAGTCTCTAGTACATACGCCCTGTTGATTTCAACTTTTTTAACTGAATTAGGAGATAGTTTTACGAGCGGCTGATTCCGTAATATCGGAAGGAGTAAGTCCGACTTGGAATGAAAAAGACGTGAGTAAGAGTTGGAACTTTCCGCATTTCAATATTTCACGTCGAAACATTTGCACAAACACGAGGGCATAAGTGTGAAAATTTGTCATTCTCATTGCATATGTGGATAATTACGCCTTTTTGATAAGGAATTTTCTCATGTTATCTGGATTGATTCAATTGGGAAACATTTCCAGCAGTTACGCCCTTTTTATCCTACGGCGACAATATCATCCGAGATAAAAACCACTTTGTCATTTATACAAAATAAAACTATTATTTTTCATAATGAATAATCTACTAATTACTTTCCCACATATCATATTACGTATAAAAAAAACAGCTATTAAATTTTTAGTAGAACTCTGCAAGAATTTTATTCGATTTCTAATGAAATTTATACAACTTTCTCGTGCATTTTTTAAATGAATATTTATCGAACAGGCAATGAAAATAAGATTGTTCAATACAAATTATTCTCTTGAGATTATTTCTATTTAGAAATTTTGGGCGTAAAATTTTCAGAATTTTTCTGTTGTATTTCTTTTAGTCTATACGCTATACCACCTTTCAGTGGACATGAAAAGGGCGGCAGGATTTGATGATCGGATTTTGTTTTCGGGGGTGGAGAATCCGAATTTCTTGGTGTTTTTGCGATCTCAGTGGACAATTGTTAGTTGTAAACAATTTTACCTCAATTTTTGATGAAAAAATGATTTTTCATGCAAACCATGAAACATACAGAAAAATGTTTCCAATGAAAGTTGTTCGTCTTTTTCATACGAACAAAACGCTTTTTGATTTATCGAAATCGTCCCAGTGGTTCGCGCGTTATCCATTAATTAGTGGGCGTTCTTAATGGACAAATAATTGTTTATGAAAATGATAAGAGACATCGGAAAACGTTTCGAATAACAGTTGCTCGTCTTTTCCATACGAACAAAATAGGTTTTGATTTATGGAAATCGGCCCAGTAGTTCGCGCGCTATCCGCTAATTAATGGGCATTCTTAATGAACAAATGATTTTTCATGAAAACGATAAGAGACATCGGAAAACGTTTCGAATAAAAGTTGTTCATCTTTTTCATACGAACAAAACGGTTTTTGATTTATCGGAATCGACCCAGTGATTCGCGCGCCGTCCGCTAATTAGTTGACGTTTTTAATGAATAAACGACTTTTTATGAAAACGATCAGAGATGCAAGAAAAGGTTTCGAATGGAAGTTGTTCATCTTAGGTTTACGGAATGGTTTACGAATGGCCTTTCATTTATCAAAATCGGCCCGGTGGTTCGCACGATATCCGCTAATTAGAGCGCGGGAGGAGACTGACAACGCTGAATACTGAGCCAAATAATAGCACGTGAATGAATACTGAATAGTTCTACGTATTTTCTGAAATGAAAGAGATTTAAACATTTAAAGAAGACCGGGGCAAAATGAGACTGGGAAATACATGCAAAACGCAATCTCATTTAGCCCCGGTCTCCCCTATTTACTGTCCATGATGTCAAAGCTTTATATTTCATCATTTGTTCATTAAGAATGCCCATTAATTAGCGGATAGCGCGCGAACCACTGGGCCGATTTCGATGAATCAAAAGCTGTTTTGTTCGTATGGAAATGACGAACAACTTTTATTCGAAACGTTTTCCGATGTCTCTTATCATTTTCATAAAAAATCATTTGTTCATTAAGAACGCCCACTAATTAGCGGATAGTGCGCGAACCACTCGGCCGATTTCGATGAATCAAAAGCTGTTTTGTTTGTATTGAAAAGACGAACAACTTTCATGTGAAACATTTTTCTGTATG